CCCCCCCCCCCCCCCCCCCCCCCCCCAATCTTAGTGAGATGCTGGAACAGGCTGACAATTGCTGAAGCACACATTACAGTTCTTTGTATGTTGTAACATTGTAGGAGTGAGGGTAGCAGCTGGAAACTCTGCATTGAAGCACCACTCTAGGACATGATGGCCATCAGAGCTGTTTCCATAATGTGGAATCACACAGGATCATTATCAATCTGCAGATATTCCCAAAGACACTTATGAGAGGTCTTCCTGGTCAGTGTGTGGTAGCTGCAGTGTAACAGCCTACCCACATTAAATGATTTCACATGCCCTCGGTCTTGCAATGGGGTATACACTATGCCAAGAATCCTGCTTGCTTTGAGGAACTATCAGACAGCGAGCGATGTCCATTGACTATGAGAATTGTAATGACCTCCTGGTCAATTCAAGGTGCCAGAAGCAAAAATCTTTATTCAAGGTACAAGCAACAAATAACTAGGATAGACAAACTCACTGAGCAAGATGGTATTTATTGAGTCTCATTGTTGTTGTTCCAGTAACTTTGTTCAGGATGATAAAACCAGCAAATCCTTAAACTATCCAAACTGTGTGTTATCAGAAAAAATCATTAGTTTTTCTTGCTACTTTCTAGAGTAGTATTTGTTGGCACACAATGTGAAAGAATAGATTATCTGCACACCTAGTTGATTTAAGACTGACCTGAAGTCACAGCCTGTTTTTTATAAAATTCCACACAGGCCCACATTTTAAATTAGAATTAGAATCATAGAAGCCCTATAGTGTGGAAGCAAGCCATTTGGCCCATCAAGTCAACACCAACCCTCTGAAGGCCATCCCATCCAGACTCACCCCCCCAAACCTATCACCATAACCCCATATTTCCCGTGGCTAACCCACCTTGCTTGCACATCCCTGGACACTATAGGTAATTTAGCAAGGCCAGTCCACCCAGTTACACATCTTTGGGTTGTGGGAGGAAACCGGAGCACCCAGAGAAAACCCACGCAGACACGGGGAGAATGTGCAAACTGCACAAAGACAGTCACCTGAGGGTGGAATAGGACCTGGGTCCCTGGCGCTGCGAGGCAGCACTGCTAATCACTCAGCCACTGTGCTCATTATCACATGTCCTCAAGTATAGGGATACAGGAGTACAGTGAAAAGTTTACAATGTCGCCATTCCTGGTGGCATCTTAGGGACAAAGTACAAAATCTTAGGTAATTCATTTGGTAGAATGAATGTCCTGCTGCTTCAGCGGATTGTGCAGTCTTAACATTTCAAAGCTGTGGGCTCCTGTAAAACCACTGACACAACCTTAGAGGTGAAAGGTTCACCAACTCACATCCACCTCAGCATTATCACATAAGGTGCAGGAAGGAAAGGAAGGGTCTGCACACATTTAAGATTGCGAGCCATGAGTTTCTACCTTGCTATCATTTCCACCACATAGGCTATTACTGGGCCTTGGAGAAAATGAAATGGAAATAAATTGCACTTGTGTGGCACCTTTCGTGATTTTCGAACATGCCGTCATGCTTCCCAGCCAAAGAAGCATCTTTGAAGTGTCATCACCGTTGTAAAATATTGCTTAATTTCCGCAAGGCACCATCTGACAAGCAGCTCTGAGAAAAGTGGTCATGGTGTTGGTTGAATGGTGAACGTTGTCCTGGAGTCCAGCAAAACTCCTGCAATAAATAGTCATAGTCATAGAGGTCAACAGACTGGCCTTGAGCCCATCGCGTCTGCCCTGTTCGAAAGCAACCATCCAACTGAAGTTAGAATAGTCTGCCTGAATGGTGAGAGCACTAACACAGGGCCAATTTACAGTTCGCAACCAATCTTGGCCTGTTCAAGGTATTAACGTCTGTCTGAATGTAAATGCTCAGGGTGCCGCTGGAGAGAAAAGTTGGTGGGGATGGGGTCTG